CCCTATAGAATCAATGTGAGACAACTCACAAGTGATACTCCAACAACACACGACCTACAAAAAAAAAAAAGAAAGAAAAAAGTGTAAGGTCTGTTTCCAGAGGCGACTCGAGCTCTGGTGGGTAAACCCTGGAAGACGGTGACGGCGGTGCCAGGAAGGATGGCCAAAAAAATGTTTGGGTAATGTGGATAAGGGACATATTTTTGCAGATTTTTTAACATAGAGTTTTTTTTTTTTTTTTGGGGGTTAGTTTGAGGGATTTAATTATATTTTTTTTTTAACTTTCAACATATTTCAATTTTGTACGTGAAGCAAATTTGTAATTTAATAAAGTCTCAAGTATTATAAATATATTAATATGGACATTACTAATATACATAATTGGGCCTGAAGTCCATTAGTTAGTAGAATTAGGTTTTAGGGTTTCTCCCTTTGTAAACTTTATAAAAGAGTGAATACCGATGAATAATATACAGACTTTTCTGCTTTTCTTTTATCGTTCTCTTTACTGCACATCTTATGCTAGGATTAATGGATGCTTGTTGAAGATTAAGAGTTCCAATTTACAACATCAAGGATTTAGTTGCAATTTCAAAAATTTCAATTTATCCCAATCTATATATATATAATTGTAGACTATCCAATTAATGCGGATAACTACATTTCCCGCCCAAATTTTGGTCTAAATAAGGCAGATATTCTTAGACCTTTTTTCCTTTATTTATATAAACTTTGGTATTAATAAGGCAGGTATTCTTAGACGTCTTTTTTTTCTTTACTTATATGCTAACAACAATTTATTGCTTATATTATTCTCAGATAAACAATTGAGATATATATTATGTTTGCTTACAAAAACAATTGATTTAACTTTTTTGTGAACTAATAAATTATCAATAACATATATTTACAACCTAAATAATAATGTATATCATTTTGACTTTCAATTTTTTTTTTCATTTCATATATTAAAGAAAAATCAAATTAACTAAACATTAGATAAAATAAAATTTACATATCATGCTACGAAAATTCAATAAATCAGAAAATCTTCTAAATAAGTATAAATCTTCAATTTTATGTTAAAATAATATTAGTGATGTCAGAATATTACGAGCAGTATTTTGTAATAACTAAATAATTTAACAATATTACATCATTAAAAATAACGTTATTTTTTTAGGATTACAATAATGATTAAGTTCTCCAATTTGTGTTTTTAAATGTAAAAAATACTACACCTTCAAAAAGTACAACCATATATTTTGTCCTTTAGTCATAACAATATCAATAACTATATAATAATATAACCACCAAATATGCTCATTCAGCTAAAATTAAGCTAATTAAGATAAAAATATATAGTAATATACCTGTCATTATTATTTCTTTAATAACTAAATTCATTTTCACTTCCGCCTAGAACATGGTAGGCGGGACAAACTATTTTTTTTTTTTTTTAGAAAAAAAGAATAAATCAAATACAATCAGACTTTATTATTTTATATTTATGTTACACAATTAATCACCTAATTTGAGATTCTTATAAATAGATGAAATAAAAAGGGTCAAAACCACTACTACCAATTATGGATTCGGTAATGACTTATGAGCAGCTCAACGTTTATCGCTCGATAATGGACTCAATTACAGTAACTATGTCTACATATTTTTCGTTTATGATTACGGAAGCACCGGTAAAACTTATGTCTGGAGGGCGTTGTCTTCAACTTTGAAGTCCAAGGGCGAAATAGTGTTGAATGTTGCATCCAGTAACAGATGCACTGCGCATTCTCTATTCAGAAACCCCCTATACCCAACGAAGTTATTCGCGTGATATTAGCCAGCAAAGTCCTTTGGTGTAATCGATTATACGTATGGTGTCGGTTGATTATTTGGGATGAAGCATGGTAAATATTTCTTCCAAGCGGTCAACACTACCTTTCGAATCTGTTAAATTAGTTTTTTTTCTTTCTTTTTTTTTAAAAAAAATGATGTTTTGGAAGTAGTGCAAGATTATTATGGTTGCAATATATTTCATTATTTAAAAACTGTTTTGGAGGTTGTACAAGATTATTATGGTTACAATATATTTTATTATTTAAAAAAAAAATAGTGATCCATCTACGAAAAAATCTTCAATTTGACAGCAAGTCTGTTGTATTTTGTGGCAAGCAGAATCTTCCCGTTGTCCCTAAAAGCACTCGGAGTGACATCGTGAGTGCCACCATCAATTCAACTAATTTTTGGTGGGATTGTATCATTTTGAGACTTACTCGGAATATGAGGCATTGAAGCCTTGGTGTGGGTGACGAGTACGATGAGTTGAGGCGCTTCTCAGAGTGGCTTGCAAACATCGGTGACTGTAAAGTCAGTGGATCAAATGACGGTTGTGCCGATATCGACATTCCCGATGATATTCTTTTGAAATCAGAAGGAGATCCTATTGCTACTAGTGAGAGTACATACCCCATGTTCTTAGCTATCTCAAGGACAGAGCCATACTCGCTTCGACACTTGATGTCGTGGAGTCCGTTAACAAGTACATGAGCTCATTAAACTCCTACGAGGGAATGACTTATTTAAGTTCGGACACCGCTTGCAAGTCTGATGTTGGATATGACTCTCTTCACGATCTTCATTCTTCTGAATTTCTCACTCAGATCAAGTGCTCGAGGCTTCTGAATCATAAATTACACTTGAAGGTCGACACTCCAATGATGTTGCTGAGAAACATTGATCACTCAATGGGGTTGTGCAACGGTACTGTTGATCATAATTCTATCTATCATTTATATTTTCTTTGATTTGTGTACAAATTCGATTGATATGTTTTTGTTGGCCGAATTTTGAGATCAACAGGTACTCGATTGGTTATTATTCGAATGCAAAATTTTAACCGATGCCAGAGCTGGTAATAAGATTCTTATTCCTAGACTTACAATCATATCGTCCGATTTGAGGGTACCTTTCAAGTTTCAGCCTAGGCAGTTCCGTTTCCTAGACAATCAATAAGCGACAAGCGCAGTCTCTGTCGCACATCGACTTGCTACTTAAGAGCTTTGTATTTAGCCGCATGGACAATTGTACGTGACACTTTCCAGAGTTACGAGTCGGAGGGGTTTGAAGATATGTGATTTGTGGTGATAGGGATTCTGACGATAGAAAAACCACGAATGTTGTATATAAATAAATGTTTAATAATATTTTAATTTTCTTTCTTAAAACGTTTTTTTCGATGATCATGTTATGATTTTTACTATTGTTTACATTTTTTATTATATTTTCTTTATCATAGAGCTTTCCGTGCAAATGCACGGGTAACAACTAGTTTAGTGTATTAGGTAAAATTTATAATTTAACAAAAAAATAATAAATGCAATAATGTTTAGTAGTGCACAATATAATGTGTGTGTGTATGCACATTAACTGTTCAAATAAATTATGGAATGCAAAATATTGTTCATCGGACGAACCAACCGACAAAAATGTCAAAAATCGAAATAAGCGATTCAAACTTTTGAAAAAAAAAATTGAACAATCGTAGCATTATATTTGGGACATGAGTCGTTTTCAAAATTAGGCAAATCATAAGGGTTTAGTTACAATATCATAAAATTATAAACTATTGCACTTAGATCATTAGGTTCAATCTGTAATTTATTTATAGTTTGAATAATTACACTATAGCTCTTGAGTTTTTATATTATAAATTAATACACATTTAGCTTATTTCTTGTGAATATTTAGATAATACACAATGCATATTGTAGTTATAAATAATACATACTTAATTGAGTCCAGGATCGTCGATTTCAAGCTAGCGAAGCTGTCACAGAGGGGTGTGGCGGGCTCAAAGCTTTCCCAACTTCAAGGGACGAAACGATACCTGGCATCGCCGCCAAGATCGGCGTGTTTGGGTTCGAGGAAGTGTGCTGCTAGAGATGGTGAGGGGGGGAGGGGGGAGGGGTAGGGTTTGCAATTGGGATGACGATTAGCAGTGATATGTGCTTGTGAATTTTGTGCGGAGCACGAAGAAGGAGATTTGGCACAGGGGTTTGGATTGGGTGGAGGGCCTGGTGAATTCAAGATTGAAGGGAGAGTTTAGCCGATGTCAGCAACGATGTTGATTGAGGTGGGAGTTTCGACCACGAGCCCTGCCGGCTTTCTGCCGCCATCTATCAAGGTTTGGACAAGTGCATGAAACGAACAATAGGAAGCGAGTGACGGTGAGCGAGATGTGTGTCTGGATTCAGTGTGCGGAGGCAGGCATGAAAGCTGACCGGTGGGAGGAGGACACCTTATAATAAGTAAGTTAATTAGTTGTTTAAACTCGGATCACTTAAGTATATGAACGAGTCGAACTCGAAATTTCATGCATCGAACCAGACTGTGTTTACCAAAAAACTCAGTTCAAATAACATTAGTCCCTTCTTTATATTTTTTTTCTCTATTTACCTTTATTTTCATACATAAATGACATATTTAAAAATATAACGTTTTACAATGAATATATATTTTTATTCAAAAATATTATGAGTGGATCTATCTAACTTACTCTTAACAAGAATATTACCACATTTGCATAATTTTATTTGTGGTATACCTTGGTGAAAGGAAGCTTCTGCGGCAGCATCACACACATGGGATGACATGAAATATTTTCCACTAAGCTCGACGATTAGTTTAATTCCATTTGTTTCACATGGAAATTAAAAGAAGATTAATTCTTTTTGCATAAATAATATTGAAGGCAAGCCCAATGTCGTTGAAGTCCCGAAAATTTCATACCGAGGACTTAATTTGGAGCCACCAACAAATTCATATTAATCAATAGTATAATTAAAAAGTAAGATAAGATCGGATATTTGACCATATGCGAATTTCACATAAAGTAATTCATTCATGTGGGACTGTAAATAAATTATTATTAATATTT